CTTGTGCAGGTCTACAATTTTATCCCTGATGTCCTTACACAGCTCTCTGGTCTTGGCCATTGTGGAGAGGTTGGAGTCTGTTTGATTGAGTGTGTGGACAGGTGTCTTTTATACAGGTAACGAGTTCAAACAGGTGCAGTTAATACAGGTAATGAGTGGAGAACAGTAGGGCTTCTTAAAGAAAAACTAACAGGTCTGTGAGAGCCGGAATTCTTACTGGTTGGTAGGTGATCAAATACTTATGTCATGCAATAAAATGCAAATTAATTACTTAAAAATCATACAATGTGATTTTCTGGATTTTTGTTTTAGATTCCGTCTCTCACAGTTGAAGTGTACCTATGATAAAAATTACAGACCTCTACATGCTTTGTAAGTAGGAAAACCTGCAAAATCGGCAGTGTATCAAATACTTGTTCTCCCCACTGTAACTGCTCTCTCATATCTCTTCATTGAGTAGAGCTTCCCAAGCTAATCTGTTGCTATGGAAACCTACACGCTCTCGTTGGCTGGCCCTCACTACAAATTCGTCGCCAAACCCACTGGCTCCAAGTCATCTATAAATCACTGCTAGGCAAATCCCTGCCTTATCTTAGCTCATTGGTCACCATAGCAACACCCACCCGTAGTATGCGCTCCAGCAGGTATATCTCACTGGTCATCCCCAAAGCCAACACCTCCTTTGGCCGCCATTCCTTCCAGTTCTCTGCTGCTAATGACTGGAACGAACTGCAAAAATCTCTGAAGCTGGAGACTCTTATCTCCCTCACTAACTTTAAGTATCAGTTGTCAGAGCAGCTTACTGATCACTGCACCTGTACACAGCCCACCTGTAATTTAGCCCACCCAACTACCTCATCCCCATATTGTTATTTATTTTGCTCATTTGCACCCCAGTATCTCTATTTGCACATCATCTTCTGCACATCTATCATTCCAGTGTTAATTCTAAATTGTAATTATTTTGCACTATGGCCTATTTATTGCCTTACCTCCATAACTTACTACATTTGCATACACTGTATATATATTTTCTATTGTGTTATTGACTGTATGTTTTGTTTTATCCCATGTGTAACTCTGTGTTGTTGTTGTTTTTATCGCACTGCTTTGCTTTATCTTGGCCAGGTTGCAGTTGTAAATGATAACTTGTTCTCAACTGGCTTACCTGGTTAAATAAAGGTGAAATAAATAAAAAATAAATAAATAAAGTGAGTGACAGACAGAGAGTAGCAGCTAATGGATTTACTAATGGAGGAAGTTATTTCTGATTTTGGGTTTCGGGCAGAAGCAATTGGGCCTGGGTAGGCAGCCTGGTCTCATAGACTAGACGTAACATAGTAAATGTAAAGTCGAGACATTGAAATTAGTAAGATACGTTACGTCTGGTATGGTTACATAAGACAGAAGGTTACTTAAGGCAAAAAGGAGGGTGGTTGATCGGGGTGGATGGGTTGGTGTGTAACGCGAACGTCGAGCAACCTAAAGGGTGGGTGTTCAAATCTCATCACGGACAACATTAGCATTTTAGCTAATTAGTAACTTTTCAACTACTTAATGTTTTTTAGCTACTTTTCAACTACTTAGCATATTAGCTAACCCTTCCTCTAACCATAACCATTTAACCTAACTCCTAACCTTAACCCTAACCCCTAGCCTAGCTAACGTTTGCCAGGTAGCTAATGTTAGCATTAGCCACCTAGCCAACTAGCTAACGTTAGCCACAACAAATTGGAATTCGTAACATAGCATATGTTTTGCAAATTCGTAACGTATTATACGATTAGCAAATTCCTAACATTTCATATGAACTGTAATTTGTAACATATCATACGAAATGGATGATGGACATCCACAAATTAATACCATAAGTAATTTAACATATTATACTAATTGGAGTGCACACAACTACTGACCACAACTACTGAACCACACAACTACTGAACCACACAACTAATGACCACTACTGACCACAACAACTGACTACAACCCACGAAAATCATATGGTCCAGACGGCGTCAGCAGCAAGGCACTTCAGGCATGCGCAGACCAGCTCATATTACCATTCCAGAAGCTGTTCCAGCTGTCACTGAACAGTGTGATAATTCCAGACTTATGGAAGAAGTCGCTGACTGTCCCAATACCTAAAAACAACAGGCCAAAAGAAAAGAACGATTTACGCCCTGTAGCCCTGACATTTTGTTACGTTACAGCTTTTTTCTAAAATGGATTAAATTGTTTTTGTTCCTTCTCAATCTACACACAATACCACATAATGACAAAGCAAAAAATTGTTTTTAGAAATCTTTACAAATGTATTAAAAATGAAGAACTGAAATATCATATTTACGTAAGTATTCAGACCCTTTATTCAGTACTTAGTTGAAGCACCTTTGGCAGCGATTACAGCCTCGAGTCTTCTTGGGTATGACGCTACAAGCTTGGCACACCTGTATTTGGGGAGTTTCTCCCATTCTTCTCTGCAGATCCTCTCATGCTTTGTCAGGTTGGATAGGGAGCGTCGCTGCACAGCTATTTTCAGGTCTCTCCAGAGATGTTCGATCGGGTTCAAGTCTGGGCTTTGGCTGGCCACTCAAGGACATTGAGACTTGTCCTGAAGCCACTCCTGCGTTGTCTTGGCTGTGTGCTTAGGGTTGTTGTCCTGTTGGAAGGTGAACCTTCACCCCAGTCTGAGGTCCTGAGCGCTCTGGAGCAGGTTTTCATCAAGGATCTCTCTGTACTTTGCTCTATTAATCTTTCCCTAAATCCTGACTAGTAACAAAATGTGGAAAAAGTCAAGGGGTCTGAATACTTTCCGAAGGCACTGTAAGTACCTCGGAATCGAAATAGACAATAAACTGAAATTCAGTGACTGTGCCTTTGCAAAGATAAAGAAATTGCAACAAATAATGTTTTTTTTAACGCAAACTGAACCATTTTAATGTCGACCGCCATATCTTACAAATGTTCTATAAATCTGTCCTGCAGAGTGTGCTGTCATTTGGTCTGATATGCGTGTTCGGAAACATGCGAGTGCAAGAGCAAGTCAAGCTTCACTGCTTGATTAAGATGGCGGGAAGGATAATTGGTATAGATCAAGAATCAGCCACCAACCTGTACACAAAACTCATCCTCCTAAAACTTGAAAGCATTTTACAGTACAGTACTCATCCCCTTCACTCAAAATTCAGTCACAGCAGCAGCCGGACAAGGGGAAAGAGACTTCTTCAAAAGAAAATTAAAACAGATAGATATGGGGACTCTTTTATTCCAACAGCCATTAGGCTGTAAAATAGATAGTCTGTTGGTCCCTCGAGTATACAGCATATTGCTCTTTCACTTTGGCACTTTTAATGAATTGTTTTGTGTGGTTTCTGTGTTTTCATGTTTTGTGTACTGTCTTTTTAAGCACATGACCAAATGAATTTCCCCCTGGTGGGATAATAAAGTTGATCTGAATCAGAATCTGACCACAACTACTGACCAAAACCACACATCTACTGACCACAAACTACTGAACCACAACTACTGACCACAAACTACTGAGCACTACTGGCCACAACTACTGAACAAAACTACTGAGCACATAACAAGTCAACCCTGTTACCCATAGACAGACATGCTAGAAATTTTTTAACAATGTAAAAAGAAAAAAGTGAAGCTTGCGAGGGGATTTATGGTTATTTAAAATGAAATCATCAACCCTGTTATGGTCAACCCGATTTTAGTTTTTTACCAAATTACACTACCCAAAATGCACTCTTCTGGTGCATTGACCCAATTGATGCGTAGGATTGCTGAGAATATAGATTTTGAACTAGGCCTACAAATAAGCTAAACCTTTGATAGTGATTTTCATTATCAAATAAATTATTGTCTTGAAAACGAGTCACACACAAACGCCCACGCACCATTTCGAATTACATAGTCATAAATAAGTAATATGCACACAGCTGCCGCAGATGAGAGACAGCTGTTTTAGGATAGTCCGTTTTCTCATTAATAACCAAATTACAATATATTGAATACAATTACTTAAGCCATTATTAAATCAAGCAAATCCATTTGTATAGTAATACATAGGCTAGTAGATAATGACAATGTAAATTACAAGGATAATGATGGTGATGATGACTATTAGGCTGTTATTATCATTTATTATCATACCCACAAATATCAATATCATGTTTATTATGGAGCCATCAATATATAACGTCTTCACAATTTGAGTGGAAAGTTTAACTGTAGCTTATAGCCTAATAGTGCAATAAATAAATAAGACAAAAAGAAACCTAATGAGTAATAAAAGAGGACTAAATAAAATATACATTTAAACATGTAGCCTACAAGGGACTGTAAGCTAAATTAGCAACAGATAACATGAAAGTCTGCAACCACTGATTCTACAGGTGGATTTTGTGTAACGCACAGCCTCAGCATCCTTCTCATTTTACATTTACATTTTAGTCATTTAGCAGACGCTCTTATCCAGAGCGACTTACAGTTAGTGAACACATTCCCCCGTGGGAATCGAACCCACAACCCTGGCGTTGCAAACACCATGCTCTATCAACTGAGCTACATCCCTGCCGGCCATTCCCTCCCCTACCCTGGACGACGCTGGGCCAATTGTGCGCCGCCCCATGGGTCTCCCGGTCGCGGCCGGCTGCGACAGAGCCTGGATTCGAACCAGGATCTCTAGTGGCACAGTTTGCACTGCGATGCAGTGCCTTAGACCACTGCGCCACTCATCTTCCGTTCAGCGCACAAGCGGGTGATCGATACACAGAGAGAGAGAGAGAGAGAGAGAGAGAGAGAGAGAGAGAGAGAGAGAGAGAGAGAGAGAGAGAGAGAGAGAGAGATAGAGAGAGAGAGAGAGAGAGAGAGAGAGAGAGAGAGAGAGAGAGAGAGAGAGAGAGAGAGAGAGAGAGAGAGAGAATAAAGCAATGCGCTCGGCTAGGCTGCTGCACATGAGTTCCTAAATCATTAATTCCAGTCAGGTGTTCAACCGCACCGGTCCATGCGTTGCGCAACCTTTTGAGAACGGAACGGAAGATGACAATCACATCTTCGACCTCGGTGGATGCCTCTTTTTGTCCATGGTGCCATTTGATGCTGAAGCAAATGTGTTGATTTGTGTGTTCTTGATGGTCACCATCCTCTCTTTGGCTCTTAACGGATTCACTTTGTTGGGACTTAGACACTCATAGGACCTGTCTTGGGAGCCACGCTACGCCCTGTTGAAGAACTTGATTCTGAGTGACATGGTGCAAACCATCAATTTGGGCCCGTTTGTGACAATAAACTTCGACACCTGGTGCCTCATCCAGTATTTCACAGGCAGCACCTGTATCTTCTGCAGCCTCATCACCATCACCTGCATGGCCATTGAGCGCTACCTGTATGTGTGCCATGCCATCCACTACCTGTCCATCCTCACCCCACTGCGCCTTCGCCTCACTATCAGCCTCACCTGGGTCTTGTCCATCAGCGTTGGCTGCATTAACGTCACCCTGCTACACCAGGGGGAGGGGGGATATGGCACAGCAACCTCTGGACTCATATGTGAGCCTGACACCGTGGAACGCCACATGGGTTTCCCCAGGGCAGCGGCTATCACCTGCAAGCTGGTGGAATTAATCGTTACCCTGCTCTGCCTCCTCAGCTACTTCTTTGCCTATGTGCGGATGTACCAGGACGCCCACAATGCTGTAGTCCCTTCAACACGGTGAACACGCAGGTGAACACGCAGGTGAACACGCAGGCGAACACGCAGGCGAACACGCAGGCGAACACGCAGGCGAACACGCAGGCGAACACGCAGGTGAACACGCAGGTGAACACGCAGGCGAACACGCAGGCGAACACGCAGGCGAACACGCAGGTGAACACGCAGGCGAACACGCAGGCGAACACGCAGGCGAACACGCAGGCGAACACGCAGGCGAACACGCAGGCGAACACGCAGGTGAACACGCAGGTGAACACGCAGGTGAACACGCAGGTGAACACGCAGGTGAACACGCAGGCACGCAACACTGTGCTCTTCTACTGTGGGATGCTGTTCTTACAACTGCTCCCTATGTTCCTCAAGATCACCTCAGATGCTCTGTGGGAGCTGGAGGGCACAGGGGCCATGATGGCCCCCCCGGCGACCCTCTCTGGGGCTGGGACCTCGCTGTCGGCCGGCACTCTGCACATTTCCCTCCTGGCTCTCAACCTGGTGCCTCCCTGTATCAACCCCCTCATCTATGGCTTCCGCAATTGGGAGGTGCGTCAGGCGCAGCCCAGACTGTTGTGGTGGAAGGGTGAACGGCCTGAGCTAGACATGGACAGGACGTGGGTGACGTCACAGGGCAGGTGGGTTGAGTGAGGCAGGGGAGAGCTGGAAGAGGGGTCTCCCAGATATGGCAACTGAGGAGAGGTACGATGAGGAGCATTGAAGTTGGGAGGAGAGACAAAAACCTGGGAAGGAAATGTACAATGGTTAGCAAGGATACATGGTAAGGACAAAGAGTACAGTAGGGACCAAAATGACCAGTTTTATAATATTATACTGACTGTTATTATCTGTTATACCATGCATTTATAGTAGGCCATTGGGGCCAATAAGCGCTATTTGACCAAGTTTCAATACAAGTGTTGGTGTATTGTTTGTGTAGTGTAAACTGAGGCACTTTATATTGTATTTTAATAATTTAATAAGGTTCTCATTCTTTTGCTGTATGCTCTTTCTATATCTCATCATGAGTGGTTCTCAATAGTGGTCTAAAGTAACTAAGCAAAAATACTTTGAAGTACTGCTAAGTAAAATCAATTGTTGTATCTGTACTTTACTATTTATATTTCTGACTACTTTTACTCCACTACATTCCTAAAGAAAATATGTACTTTCTACTCCCATACATTTTCGCTGACACCCAAAAGTACTCGTTACATTTCAATTGCTCAGGCAGGACAGCAATATGGTCCAATTCATGCGCCTATCAATATAACGCGTTGTCATCCCTACTGCCCTTGATCTGGCGGACTCACTAAACACAAATACTGACTTCACAGGAGGTTGGTGGCACCTTAATTGGGGAGGACGGGCTCGTGGTAATAGCTGGAGCGGAATTGGTGGAATGGTATCAAATACATCAAACACATGGTTTCCATGTTTTTGATGCCATTCCATTTGCTCCGTTCCAGCCATTATTATGAGCAGTACTCCCCTCAGCAGCCTCCAATGACTGACTTTGTAAATTATGTCTGAGTGTTGGAGTGTGCCACTGGCTGTCCGTAAATTTAAAAAACAAGAAAATCGTGCCGTCTGCTTTGCTTAAAATAAGGAATTTGATGTATAGCATTTACTTTTACTTTTACTCAAGTATGACGATTGAGTAGTTTTTCCACTACTGGCTTTCAGTCCTGCATTTGAAATGTTTTTCACTGTACAAATGTTGTGCATGTGTCCCCAGATTCTGTTACCTAAACAGTGAGGATGATACAATAACAGTGTGATGTGGGTACATGTTTAAAGTAATTGATTCAAGTTTTGTTGTATATTTTATTTAATGTTCTGAGAGTATGATTGTTTTCATTTTATTACAGGAGCAGCTGCCTTCTTTTCCAGGTATTTGATTTATTAATTTATCTTTGTGGGATTTCCTGGATATAAATGGATATAAAAGGTTGTCTGCTGATGTTTTAAAAGATTTGAAGATCAGTCAGAAACTGTCATGTTCCATCAGCCTTGATTGTACTCACTTGCTGTTTATAGTTATTTTCTTTAAGTGCCACAAGGTCAGGTCGTTTTCAGATGATCACATCTGGATTCTTCAAGTTCAACATCCAATTTCTATTTTTTCTTTGAATAAAATTAAACATGTTTTTCAACTAATATGTTGGCATGAGAATTGTGAATACATTTTATATCTCTAATGAAATTGTCTTCAGTTGAGAGATGTTTTTACATGGCAGGTTTCTCTTTTATTCTCTGTTTGCGTCCAATTGAAGCACTCAATTTCAGTTTCAGTTGGTTTGCATTGAAAGACAACATAATGAACCCATATTATTTTATGCACTTCTGATTAATACACATAATCTGTAGTATAGATGATTGTTGTCAGGGTTTATTATTCAACTGATTGCTCTGTCACATTTTCAAACATAAAAATCTACTGCAGGGTTCGTCAACTAGGTTTGGCCTCGGGCCACATTGTCACGACTTCCTCCGAAGCTGCCTCCTATCCTTGTTCGGGCAGGCGTCGGCATTCGTCGTCACCAGCCTTTTAGCCACTGCCGCTCCTCATCTCATCATTCCATTTGTTTTGCCTTGCTTATTACACACACCTGGTTAATATCCCCTCATCAGTACCTGTATATGTATTCCCTCTGCCCCCCTTGTCTTTGTGTGTGATTGTTACTTTGTGGAGGTATCGCATGCTCGGTTGAGCATTTTGTTATTTTATCGCGGGAATATTTACCTGTGTATGTTTGGTTCCCAGTACGCATTTAAGTCGCTTATTCCTTCTTCACCCTCCTGCGCCTGACTCCATCCCCTCACCACAGAATCACATACCCAACAGCATGGAGTCAGCAGAAAACGGGAATATGCCTGGAGTCGTGGAGCGGGTCCGGGAGCATTCCAACATGCTAGCCAGCTTGGGCGAAGAGATGGATCGGGTTCTCCAGGTCGTCCAACGCCTGGAGAGGAGAGGACCCGACCCTTCGGGACCAGCTGAGTGACCGGATCCAGCCACCCACACCCCAGCACCCAGAGGGATTCACCTATCCCGACCGAGGGAGTACGACGGGACAGCGGCCCGCTGCCAGGGATTCCTCCTGCAGCTGGACCTCTATTTTTCCACCATCGGTTGTACTGCATTCTATTCATTCTATTCTATAATATTCTCTGTATCTTAGTCCATGCCGCTCTGTCATTGCTTGTCCATATATGTATATATTCTTAAATCCCATTCCTTACTGTTTTGTGTGTATTGGGTATATGTTGTGAAATTGTTAGATATTACTGCACTGTCGGAGCTAGAAGCACAAGCATTTCGCTACACCCGCTATAACATCTGCTAAACACGTGTATGTGACAAATACAATTTGATTTGATTTGAGATGATACCATCTAGGGTGATACTATTGTAGTTGGGAGTGACAGCCAATAATGGTTGGCAACTGTTGGATATAATTAGCTTGCAACGCAGTATATAAACTGAGAGATTTTATATGCCTATCATTCAAATAGCAAGGGGCAACGTGCGTGCGTCTTGTTATGTTGAATCCGGTATCGTATCTATTAAATACATGTATCAACTCTCCATCTAAGTGTTAAATATCTTCTTGCATATTGAATTCCTTGATACCAGAGAAACTAATCATAACAGTTATCCTCTACCCCTCATCTCCTCTGTTATTAAATCAATGCATGGGACGCACTTCTTCACGAAATTAGATCTCCGGAGTGCTTACAACCTGGTGCGTGTCCGGGAAGGGGACGAGTGGCAGCATTCAGCACAACCACGGGGCATTATGAATACCTAGTGATGCCGTACGGGTTGATGAATGCTCCATCTGTCTTCCAGTCCTTTGTGAACAAGGTGTTTTGGGACATGCTTGGTCGCGCTGTGGTGGTCTACATCAATGACATTCTGGTGTATTCCGCTATGCGCACCGAGCATGTGGTCCTGGTTCGCAGAGTGCTGGCCTGACTGTATGCCAAGGCAGAAAAGTGTCTGTTCTTCCAACAGTCTGTCTCCTTCCTCGGATACCACATCACCACCTCAGGTGTGGAGATGGAGGGAGACCGCATTTCAGCCGTGCGTAATTGGCCGACTCCAACTACGGTAAAGGAGGTGCAGCGCTTTATTGGGTTTGCCAATTACTATCGGAGGTTTATCCAGGGCTTTGGCAAGGTCGCAGCTCCCATCACCTCTCTGTTCGAAGGGTGGGCTGTCCCGGCTCCGCTGGTCTGCTGAGGCTGACAGGGGTTTCAGTAACCTGAGGGCTCTGTTCACCTCAGCCCCGGTACTGGCCCATCCCGATCCATTTTACCGTTTGTAGTGGAGGTGGATAAGTCCGAGGTAGGGATAGGTACTGTCCTATCCCAACGCTCAGGCACGCCACCCAAGCTCCGCCCCTGTGTCTTCTTCTCTAAGAAGCTCAGCCCGGCGGAGCAGAACTACGACGTTGGTGATCGGGAGCTGTTCGCAGTAGAGGCACTGGCTTGAGGGGGCGAAACACCCTTTCCTCGTCTGGACTGACCACCGTAACCTGGAGTATATCTGGGCAGCGAGGAGGCTGAACCCTCGCCAGGCCAGGTGGGCCTTGTTCTTCACCCGGTTTGATTTCACGTTGTCATACATACCAGGTACTAAGAACGTAAAGGCACGGCTGTACGACACAGAGGAGAGGCCCATAGACAACACCCCCATACTCCCGGCCTCCTGCATTGTGGCGCCGGTAATGGGAGCGAAGGACGTGGACATAGTGCGGACATTACACACAGATCCATCTCCACCTCAGTGCCCAGCTGGGCTGCGGTACGTGCCGTCTCTTGTCTGTGACCGTCTTATCTATTGGGCATACACGTCTCCCTCCTCTGGTCACCCAGGTATCAGCCGTAGATCGCGCTGCTTGACCGGGAAGTACTGGTGACCTACCTTGGCTAAGGACTTGAGGGTGTTTGTCTCCTCCCGCTCGGTGTGCGCCCAGATTAAGGCACCTTGGCACCTCTCAGCGGTAAATTACATCCCTTACCAGTTCCACAACGGCCATGGTCCCACTTGTCAATTGACTTTCTCACTGATTTTTCCCCTCTCTCCAGTCCTCATTTTCCTATATGAACGCAGTATAGAGTCACGACAGGAACTGGCTATCACATAAGTCAATCGAGGACTGCCTGCGAATCAAAATCCCATCCATCTCACGCGACATCCACAAGATCGTGTCCGAGGGGAAATTCAACTTTTCCCATTGAGTAAGTAACTTAGTGGCCTATATGACTGTAATTGCTAAATACTAACATTATTGTGAGTGCTTATCCAAGGATATTTAGGTCTCAAGTTGACAGTATTTTCAGTTTGTTCTGACGTTACAGGAGCAGGCTATCCCGATACAGACATTCAGATACAGACATCGTGTCACGCCCTGGCTCTGGGGACTCTTAAATGTTGAGCCAGGGTGTGGATTTGCTATGTTTCGTTTTTCTATGTTTTTGTTCTAGATCGTTTGATCTATGTTGGCCAGGGTGGTTCCCAATCAGAGGCAGCTGTAGCTCGTTGTCTCTGATTGGGGACCATACTTAGGCAGCCTGTTTTGCACTAGTCTTTGTGGGATCTTGATCCGTAAAGGTTTGTTGTGTTA